GTGAAGTTCCAAAATCCATCCAACCATTGTTACACCAATTCTCTGGTGGTTGGCTTCTTTTGGGTTGACCTGCTCCTTGATGCCTCCAGCCCCTTTGCTGGATCCCCCATCCAGGGCATCCTGCGATGGTTGAAAGATCAGCGCAAAGTCGAGCTGTGGCAGTCCCTGGTTTGGAAGAGACTAGTTGCAGGCCAGGGTCGATGGGAATCCCCAAATAGCCAGCATGATGTTTGTCAACTTCTCATGCACCTTTCTTCGGGGCTTCCCCGTGACCTCTCTTGCGTTTCATGGCGAGCTCATGCTCCCAACGCACCTCACCACGAGGGTAACCTTTTCCCACTTCCTCTTCACCTCCCGGAGCACGAAGTCTCTATGAAGGAGCTTCTGGCAAATTGGCAACAAGGTGGAGAAGTGAAAATTCTTACTCACCCGCCTTTGATTGCATTGCAGCTTTTGAGGTTTGTTAGGGAAGGGGGGGGTTTTCGGAGGCTCGAGAACCCAGTTGGTTTTGAGGATCCTTGTGTGCTTGAGGGATTGGATGGGGAACTTCTTCGTTACTACCCCAAGGCCGTGGTCTCGCATTTTGGCAACTCCCCGACCTCTGGACATTATCGTACATTACTACTCCCCTCCAAGCTTATTACTGATGATGGGGTAGGTGCTGTTTGCGCCAAGCCTGCAGATGTAGCCTGGTCTAAGTGCTACTCGTACCTGGTTTTGCTAACCCCCCATGTCTGAGCCTTCTCGCAGCTTTTGGCTCCAAGATGGGTAAAGGAAAAGGGAAGAATAAGCCAGGGAAGGGGCAAAATGCCCCTTTCGAGGACCCGGTAACGGAACAGAGGTACCAGGCCCTCTTGCAGCATCGTTTTAGTGAGGGCAAACCTGCTATTTCGAGATCAAGGTACTCCAGGCAAAGCCAGCACTCAGGTACCGACCGGGAACAAGCCGGGGGCAGCCCGAACCCCACCACCACCACCGCCAAAGCGGCAACGCACAGAGGCCCAGGCTGAGGAGGCCTCGCCAAGAGCCTCCGGTTCCAATCTGCAGGCTGAGGTGCCCTCGCCTTCCAATGCTGATGAACCAGGCCTAGCCTCCACAACTCAGGTTGAGCAGGTCTCACCTGAACCAACCTCTCCTTTGGGGCCTGAGCAGGATGAGGTGCTGACCTCTCCTAAACAGGAACCTGCCCAGAGTTCTCAGACTGAGGTTCCTCCACCGGCAACCAAGCCGGATACAGATGCTGGTGATCCAGGCCCGGCCGCCGCAACCCAGGTTGAGAAGGTCTCGCCTGAACCGGCCTCTCCCTCGGAGCATGAGCAGGAAGAGGTACTGACCTCTCCTAAGCAGGAGCCTGCCCAGAGCTCCCAGGTTGAGGCTACCTCACCGGCACCCAAGCCGGATACAGAAGGCAAGGCTTCCAAAACACAGGTTGAGAAGATCTCACCTGAGCCAGCCTCTTCTTTGGTCCCTGAGCAGGTTGAGGAACCCTCACCTCATCCAGATCCTGTCCCCAGTGACCAGGTTGAGGCGAACTCACCGGCCACCACCAAGTTTTCGGAGGAGGCCCCATCCCCAGCGGAGTCCCTTCCAGGCCCAGATCCGGGAATCAAGGGCGAGGACCTCAGAAGGGAGCCAGGTTCGGAGGTTCCCTTGGAGCTTCTTTACAAGCAGCCCCTGAAGATCCCGAGATCCCTCCGAGGCGTGTCCCTCAACAAAAAGGGCTCGTCTGGCACGCCTTGGACTTTTTACAGTCCGGCGGAGCTGGAGGACGAGCATGGAGGGGTATGGGCCGTTTTAGGGGTAGGTGGCAGTCGTGTCACCTTGGAGCCCCCGGCTCAATGGGGACTTGGAGCCGATTTTCAGGTCCTCAAACTGGGGCTCGCCGAGGACATGGACCAGGAGCAGATTTTTCTGGAGGGACTCTCCAGAGATTTCACCTTTATCCCTCGACCGGGAACCTCTGGTGATGTTCTGCTCACCTTGTCAGAGAATGGCCATGGCAAGGGTTTTACCCTACGTGGCCGCGGGGTCTTCTACAGGAGGGTCATCCCTGTGGCTTCTCCGCAGGGAAAGCTTAGGACACTTGATGTCCCGGACCTCCTGGCTTTGCTAAGTGGGGTCGCGTTCTTGAGTGCCTGCCATATCCGCTTGTCGGATCTTGGGGAGCACAATGTAGGTTGGGCCCTCCCGACCTTGGCGCGCACACGCGCCGAGAACATGGCGCTTCAAAGTGTAAAGCTGCGCACGGCCGACTACGTGCAGGTTTGTTTGTACGACGGGGGCCGCTGGAGAGAAGCGCAGCACAAGCACTGGCCTGGAAAGGCGGCAACCAAGGGGCTTCTTGGCCTATGCGCCAAACATGAAATGTTTGGCCCATGGGTGGAAGAACAAATCCACCTTTATGGCTCCCCCGAGGTTTTGTGCAAGGTCTTCCTCCACCGCCTCCAGGACTTTCCGCACCACTTTGAGGGCTTAAAGGACTCGGGGTTCTTAACCTACCTTCCCTTGTGCTACAAGGTTGGTATGGTTATTCCCCTGAGCAACCCTTGGAGCAATCCGGATGATACAACCTGGCAGCTCGTTCCGATCCCTAGTTTGGACACCCCGACCAGTTGAGAAACCCCTGAAGGGTTTTAAGGTGAGGTGACTCCCTTAAGCTTGCAAGCCGCTTCAGGGTGAGGAGACTCCCCTTTCCAGCCTTAATTCAACGAGCCAATTTGGTCACAAGCCTAAGTCTGCTCAAGGTGAGGCTACTCCCTTGCTCTACAAGTCAACAACGTGAGGAGACTCCGTGGACTTGGAGAAGCTACAAGGTTGAGATACCTCCCTTGCACAACCCCTTTTGTTGCCGCCTAGCTCAAAGTGAGGAGACTCCTTGGAAGGTAGGCTGAGGGCAACCGCAGTAGGCAGGTGAGCTCGACCAGTCTGTGCCGAGGGTGCTGTTTAAGGACATCACCTGATGTCAGACTGGTCTAGAGAAACTCGCCGCTCCCAAAGTGGACTAGGCCCCGAAATCAGGGTGAGGTGACTCCCCTAAAGCTCCGTCTCACCCTGACTCGAACTGGGCTCAGCCCAGCGGACCGACCGCTCGAGCGTGATTTTCAATCCTATAATGGTGCCCCTGTGTCTCGCCAAGGTCAGGAACACTTTCTGTTTTCTCCTTTGTGAGTTTTAGAGAACCTTAGGTGTAGTTGTGAACGGTAGGAGTAGGGAAAAGTTGTCTGTCTGTCGGTCGCTGCGCTTACGCTTCCTGTCTCACCTTGCTGTGAAAGTTGTCAGTGTCAGAAGCGTGTCCAACCGGAGTTTTCCTCACGAGTTTTCACGAAGAACGGTGTTTCCCTGAAGCATGATGAACATCAGAGTGTTTTCAGTTTGTTTGCTGTGAGAACGGACTTCTAGACGAAGTCCGGGGAACACCTGGGCCACAGAGCAGAGTTACCAGTGCAGAGAAGCCGTTAGGAGTCCTTAGGACTTGTCACGGAAGTGAGTGTGCTGAAGTCTCTGTCCTCGCCCCGTTTCACTTTGGCTCAAGACTTGCACTGCGTGACAAGCGCGTGGTGAACAGTTGGTTGCGACGAAAGGTGTAAAAGTGCTGTTAGCTTTCACTGCTGTAGCCTTGCGTGACGTAGTCAGTCAGTCGGCTTGCACCTCCTTTACTAAACCTAGAAGTGTGCCTCAAGGCGCGTTTGGGTTTTAACGAAGTCCGCATGGACCGCCCGCTGTAATGGTAACCATGTGCCAAATTCCCCCACAGGTCCTCCAGGCACACTGTCTGGAGTGGGTGCATGCAGGAGACTTTGGGCAGATAGTGAAGGAAGCCCTGCGTGCCATGAACTACAAGCTGGTTGCATACGCATGGGGTTGTGCGCCTGATCTAGGGCAGGTGCCGACATCTGGGGAGAGGATTTCTCAGCTCTTGGATGGGCCTTAGGCCAGCGAGCGTGCGAGCAATGTGCCGCTCTCCTGATTATGAGAGCCGATCCAAACGGCCCTGACCGCCTGCACAGGCCAGCGCAGCACGACGGCTGCTGTCGCACTTGTCTAGCCGTGAAGCGCATCGCATCGCTCATGGGTTCCGGGACCAGAATTCACGGCAGGCAGGTGCGTCGACTGATGCCGTCTTGCCCCACAGCTGCCAGCGGCCCCATTCCATATAGGTTCGCTGGGAATGTCTGAACTGCATGGGTACGGACGGCCTTGCTGGTCTTCGAGCGCTTGCGAGCGGGCGACTCCATGGGGCCACGCAATGGCGACGCCGATGAGCAGAATTGCCCTCAGCGTCCCTCCCCTAAGACACTTACCAATTTGAGCCGTGGTGTGGCCAAGTCAATGGCGGCGGTAGAGCTAAGCAAGATCAAATGCGTCATGTACTCCAAAACTCATCGTGCGCACAGCAGCTGGAGGCAGAGAATGCCCGTCAAATTTCCGTGAGCTAACCCAGAGCATCCCGAAGCGTCGATTTTGAAGCTGCTGGATGTATCAGCGGGTGATAGATCTGTTTGAGTGATCAAAAACATAGCATCAGCGGCTGATAGGATATATCAGGGGCTGATGGAGGTTAACAGCGCCGATTTTGAAGCTGCTGCTCCCGGCAGCGGGCAAAAGGACACTGCGATCCGGAAGCGGGCAAAACCAATTATCTAGTGGGGGTCGAATATGCTGTATAAGTATATACATGGACAATATTTTTTGATATACATATACATACATACATATATGTGTGTGTATATACGTATATATATATATATATGTACATGTCTGTATGTATGTATGTATGTATGTATATATATATATATATATGTGTGTATGTATATATGTATATATGTATACGTACAGCAGATGCATGCATTGTTTTTTGCAGCAGGCGGACAGGAAGAAGCGAGCTCCGGAGATTGTTCGAGTGATCCATGCAGGTGCATGCTCTATCCCGCATGCTCGTGCTGGCAGGTGGGCTCGATCTATAGGCTAACTGTAGCTATAGCTGTGTACGTAGAGCGATCATGTCGTCCGAAGACATTTTCCAAGCCATGTGTAAAGCTTGCCCAGCGGCAGCGATCAAACAGGCGATCGAAGCGAGTCACGGGCTGTTTTGGTACCCAGAGCAAAACGTGGAGCTAGCTTGCTCCAACTTTGCAGGATTGCTTAAGGAGCTCTTCAAGTTGGGGAAGACGTTGCTGCCGAAGGAGACTCAGAAAGCAATGGAGAGATTCAACACTCTCCATTGCAGCAAGCTCCTTGACGACAAGAGGACCCCCCGCAACCAAGGGCAGGGCATCTTAAACATGATGAGCTTGGTAAACCGCAAACGTCGAAACCTCAAGGACGGCTCCCGAATGTCCGACACCATGATCGAGTTAATCGAATGTTCAAGGACCGCCCCAGACTCCTGCTCTTCGGCATCGATCCAGGAGGGTCGCAGGGCATCGTTGTCGGAGGGTCGCAGGGCATCGTTGTCACCTTCGACACGTACCCCAAAGCACGGCCACACTCCGGACGATATCTTGGAGGCCTTTGGCTTGAAGAAGAAGGTGGATGATTCCGATGATGATGCCGTCGTCGTCGTCGAGCCGCAGGCCCTTAAGGACGAAGTCGTGGATCTTGAGAAGGACCTCGTGACGATCAAGGACTACACCATCCACACCGATCATGCATTGGGCGTCTTGGTTCGTTTGCACAAGGATGGCAGGGTTGAGCAGGCAGACATGACGTCACCTCCGGAGAAAGGGTTCCTAGTCGGTGTCTTCGGCGATGGCGAGCGTGTGGTGTCTGAGTTGCCAAGCTTGCCGCCGGTTTCAGGCAAGATCCCTGTGGCCATCAAGGCCAAGAAGGCTAAGAAGCCTAAGAAGGCTTCGAAGCCTAAAAAGGCCATGAAGAAGAACTCCAAGCCGAAGCCGGCTAAGAGTGCGAAGGCGAAGGATGCAGCTATTGCTCCTAAAGCTCAAGGTCTGGTCCCAAGGGTCATGAAACGAATGAAGGGCAAGCAAGCTGAGCCGCATGTGGCTTTGCACCGTGTGCGGGTGACAAAGGCCAAGGAGCCAGCCCGAGCCTACGTAACCGCCTGCCAATGCGGCAGTACCCCATCCCCCTCCTGCAGGCAGCAGCTCATAGTAGAGTTTAGTGCGAAGCACTTCCCTGCAGATTTCCATGAAAGGGCGGTTCGTGCCCAAACTCGGATTCAGAGCGAGGGTCTCAGCTTCTTTGCTGCTCGAAATTTGAAGCAGCAGCTTGGCCAGTAGGATGTTTCATGTTCCATTTTATGTTGCAGCTATATGTGAATATAGCTCTGGGGGCTGGATCGTGCGAACACGGTCCAGCGACGATCGGGCCTGTGCAGCAAGGTTTCAAGTCTTGGTTTTAACCCTATATAGGCCGAGCATATATAACCCTCGATCTTCCCAAGCCCCATGCACATGCAGAGAACCGATATGAAGTGTTGACTTCCATGAGCTCAGCGTGCAGAGGCCAGGGTCTTTGATGATATGGCTTGCAAGCACTTTAAAGTGCTGGGGATCGGGCTCCAGATCGTGATCCGAGGGCAGAAAATATAGCACTGCTGCGGATTTGTACATATGCATGTTTTGTTGTACTTAAATAGGGCAGGTTATCAAGAATGTCAAGTTTTGTAGCCTAGGACGGTGCCTTTTGAGTCCCAGCCCTAAAGCTTGAACCCCGAAGCCACAAAACCTAGAGCTTGCTCGTGAACTTGGTCTAAAACTCGCTGAAACCCCAAACTTTAAACCCCGAAACCTTTATAACCCCTGCACCACAATGACACCTAAACCTCTAACCCACAACCCTTGAAACTGCTCTGCAAAGGTTCGTGTCGGCTGAGGTGCAGCAGATTTCGGATGATTCGAGGCTGGTTGAAGTCATTAAAGATTTAGTGTTCCACAGAAGAGGTTAACTGATCGATCAGTCGACAGAAAGGATCTCCATGTTCAGTTCTAGGCAGCTTTACAGCTCCTCTTTGCGATTATTGCGATGGTTTTGGGTTTGGATATTTACCCATGCAGGTCTATGCATGCACTGGCTCCTGAACGATGGGGCTCTTCGGTGCAGTCTGCACTGGAAGGACAGCTGGCATACATATGTGCATGCGATTGCATGCGAGTGCACGTGCACTGCTGGGTACCTGCATGCCCCTACAGGAGCATTAGGAGCAGAAGCTCCTGCATGAGATCAAAGCACCCGTAGCACTTTCGGCTTACAGCGATACCGGAGGTGATAAGTGTATCATATCGATCATGGGTAACGATCTGTCCCGAACCCTGCAGCAAGTGGGCCAAGTGGGCCAAGCATTGGAGCAGCTGAATGCTCAGGGAGGCTTGCCAGGTGCACATGCACCTCCCCCCATGCCACCCCCATCCATGCCTCCTGCCGCCGTCCCATTCCCGAACCCTTGGCAATTCCCACCGCCGCCCCCAGCCAATGACGGCACAGGCAATGATGGCCCAGCCCCAGCCAAGAATGATGGCCCAGCCCCAGCCAAGAATGACGATCAGGAGCCTCCTCGAGGCTACCTTCGCCGGTGCAATCGGTGCAAGCAGATCTCCTACATCCGCAACAACATGTGCATGGATGAAAGGTGCGAGCTTAAGCTGCACTTTGGATTTTTGTTTTGTACACAATATATATGTATATGTAAGTATATATGTACATGTATATGTATATGTATATGTATATGTGTAGTTATATATATATATATATATATAGATAGATAGATAGATATATGCATGTGTGTGTGTGTGTGGCAAAAAGTACATTATATATATGTGTGTATATATATATATGTGTATATATATAGATATATACACACATCATCTCTCTCTATGTATGTGTATATTTATATATATATATATATATTTTGTGGTTTCGGCTTAAGTCTTTTAGGGTTTAGGTAGGGTTTAAGGCTAGGTATACACAGACACACACACACACATATATATATATATATATACATGTACATATACTTATATAATATACCCAACACATGCACCAGAAACACTGAAACCTAAACCCTGAACCTTAAAACCTGAACCCTGAAACTTAAACCTTGAAACTTAAAAGCCTAGCCTAAAAGTATCATTAAACCCTCTATCCACTAAGGAACTTTCAGTATGGCGTCAAAAACCCGAAGATATAGGGCGGCAGATGGTCTCATGGGCCGGCAAAGACTCGGCATGGCAAGACCAGACTTTGCCAAAGAAGATCGTGAATGCCCGCTGGACGAGTACTCGCAGCCGTGGGACGAAGGGACAACAACATGCCAATTGGTGGAAGTCGAAGACGGCGAGCCAACGGGAGTGGATCAAGTACAATCAGAAGAAGACCAAAAACCAATGGTGGGACAAGAAGACCGACAAGGGCCCGGCCGGCGAGGATAAGAAGAAGGGCCCGGCCGGCGAGGATAAGAAGAAAGTCAAGAAGGAGGGTGTCGTGGGTGGCATTGGTTGGTGGGGCACGATCGATGTCGATAACGACGAAGAGGAGGAGCCCGAAGAAGACGACGACGACGAGGAGGTTCCCTCTCCTTCTGGCCCCGGGAAAGGTGACAAGCCCGATGGCGGCGATCACGGCGATGGCGATGGGCCAAAGCTCAGCCCCGGCGAGTGGGTGTTGTGATGTAGCTTCGCGATGATTCGAGCTGCAGTGTAAAAAAAGGAGCACACCCAAGCTCCTGAAGAGGAGCTTAAGCTGCAGCTCCTAGGACATGACTGTGCCATTTAGTTGCCTAAAATTCCTTGCCAGGAGCTCGATCCTTCGATGTGGACGAAGAGAAGACCCTGCTACGATTGGCAGGCTCGGCAGATCGAGAAGGGTGTGTTTTTTCGAGGGCCGGGGTCAGTTCAAGTCTCTTGCTTGTGAAAAACAGCACATGCCTCGATCGACCACCATATGTTTTTGATTTTCGAAATTGGTGGCAGGACCCAGCTGCGTGGAGCACCAGACCATGCAGCAACGAGGCCTTTGCACTTTTGGTGGTTGTGGTTCGATCTTAGAAAGGTCACCCCCATAAACCCTTAAACCCTCAAACCCTCAACCCCTAAACCCCTAAACCCTTAAACCCTGAACCCCTAAACCCTTAAACCCCTAAACCCTTAAACCCCTAAACCCTTAAACCGCTAAACCCTGAACCCCAGGGGCTCAAAGCCCCTAAACCCCTAAAGGATTCGGGAATTAAAGAGTCCCACATGTGTTGCCGTCTGCAGCAGCTGCACACTTGAGATATATCCTAGGCCGGGTTACGGGTTCAGGCCTAGACCTTGTATTTTAGGGTTGTCGTGTGTAGCTTGTCGATATTGAGAAGTTCGGCCGGCAAGCTTCTGAAGCCTTTTTTCCTAATGGCCTAAACGGGTACCCTGGAACCCCTTAACCCAAACCTATATCCCAAAACCGCTGAACCCTAAACCTCCTAGCCTTCAACCCTTGGACCCCTAAACCCTCAACTCTAGAATCCCCAAACCCTCAGTCACTTGTTGCCTGCTGCTGCAGCTGCATAGATCTCGAGAGTTGATCCTTAAGTACAGCGAGGGCCATGCCTCGACAGGACACGGTTTGCAGGTTGACACTATGAACGGTTTGTTGAATTCTGATCTATGTATACTAGTGTGCAGGACGTCCGAGATCAACGTTCCAGGTCACGGTCACCGCCGTCAAGCATCCGGCGGTGGAAATGGTGCTGGAAATCAGTTGAGATTGGTGGGCAAACGACATTCAAGCCTAATTCATTTTCTTTCACATATACATGCAATGGCTGTGTAGGAGCAACCTGCGTGAACCAGAGTTTGCTCCTTCTGTGAAAGCATAAGGATCTGGTACTGGGTTTGGTGGCTTTCCGAAGACTGAGTACCATCGTGACGAAGACCGCGTGAGCGGCCACCGGCCACTGTGTGCAGCTGGAATTAATATTGCACCGACGTGCCTCTGATAATAGCTTCTTTTCGGTGCTTCGAGAAGACACAAAGTGTGCCTGCCGGCAGCACTAGTAGATACACTAAAGCAGCAGCACCACCAGCACCAATACGGCCACCCCTGAAGCTCTAATGCCCTAAACCTCTTAGCCCTAAACCCGTGGTCCAGGTGTGTGGCGAGGCTGGTGCCGGTGCCTTGGTCCTGCGGTTGTTTGCTTCTTGGTTTTGGCCTTCTGCAGAAAGACAGGAGCAGTCGCTCCTCCAACACTGTGTTAAGTCTTGCTTAGCAAGAGATAGGAGCCGTGTCCATTCAGGATATTGAGAAATTCCTTGCTCCTCCTCGGGCACCTATACCCTTCAGCCCTTAAACCCTTAGGCCCCTAAGCCCTTAAGCCGCTAAACCCTTAACCCCCTCAGCACTTCGGCTAAAATCCCTACCCCAGAATCCTGGAACGACCAAACCCTGAGCCAGGCGTGGCGGCGAGGCTGGTACCACTGCCCTGGTACTGTTGCTCACAAGGTGGCTTTGCTAGTTGCTTTTGGTAAGAGCAAGCCTGCTGCCTTAGGCCGAGAGACAGGAGCTTTGGCTCCTTTATGATTCAGATGAGGATTTTAGCTTAGTGGTCTAGGTGTTCAGAGATCCATGGGGCAGGGGTTAGGGGGAGGGTTTACGGCCCGGGGTGGTTGGGATAATGTTTCTCTATCTCTAGGTGGTGCCTTGCAGGGCTGGATAATGGTGTGTTTCGGTCGTGTGAAATTCAGGAGCAGCTGTGCTCCTTTAAAGGTTAAGACTAGGAGTTGTTGCACTGGCTTGTGCTTGTTGTTTTTTGTGGAAGAGTTAAACATTAGTTAAATTTAACTTTCATTTAACCTGGATTTAACCTTCCTGGAAGATTCTATCTAAAGGAAGTGCAAGGTTAAATGAAAGTTAAATGAGGGTTAAATTTAACTATTGTTTAACCTGCGTGGTTTGCCATGGCCAGGCTTGCTGGTCCTGCTGAACCCAAAGTTGCTCTGTGCAATCGACAGGCCAGTGCCAGGGTGAGGGCTTAAGATGTATAGTTTGGAGCCACAGAACCAACAGGGACATTAGCCTTGGCTGCACGACTGCAGACAGGTGGGCCATCGCCAGCAGCAGCAAGAGACCAAACATAGCTGTTATAGTAGCAGACCATAGAGGAATAGCACCAGCGGCACCACCACTAGTACCCACAGCCGAAAAGCAACACATATGAGCACAGTTACCACCAGCAACACCAGCAGTGGCAGCAGCAATCCTACGGGAACCACTAGCACAGCAGCAGCACCGGCAACGACCAACAACACAAGCAGCAACCTCTAAACTCTTACACCCCTCAACCCTAACCCTCCCGACCCTGCAACTTAGCCTAAATCCCGCCACCCCTAAACCCTTAAGCCTAAGCGAGTAAACCTATAAACCCCTAAATCCCTGAGCCCCTCAAGCCCTAATGCCCCCTAAACCCGTGGCCCAGGTGTGTGGCGAGGCTGGTGCCGGTGCCTTGGTCCTGTGGCTGTTTGCTTCTTGGTTTTGGCCTTCTGCAGAAAGACAGGAGCAGTCGCTCCTCCAACACTGTGTTAAGTCTTGCTTAGCAAGAGATAGGAGCATGTGCTCCTATGTACAGTATAGCAAGACCCTGGAACCTGGAACCCTATCTTCTTAAATCCTCTACACCACAGAACTGGGAAGCTAAGACCCCAAATCCCAAACCCCACTGAGGCCCAAACCCAAAACCTGATCCCAGAGACCCGTCAGGATGTGCACATCACCCCTTGTATCTTTCTCCTGAATCGTTGCAGTCCTGGCAGCTGTGTGCTGCTCCACATCGCCTAGATCCACCTTTGCTTTTGTTTGCCATGGCACCCAAGGGTAAGCCTGCTGCCGCCAAGGGCAAAGCCGCTGCCAAGGCAGCCGCCGAGGCCAAGGCTGCTGCTGCAGCGAAGAAGGGCCAGCAATCCAACATGGTCACTCAGCTCAAGCAGGCGAAGAAAAAATTGGATCAGGCGATGATCACGGGCGAGGAGCTCGACCCCGACCTGAAGAAGTGCCTCGAGCACAAGGCCGCCTTCCTGTCCGAGTACAACAGCTTGGGCCTTTTTGACGGCAAGAAGCAACAGATGCTTGAGATGTGGAAGACGGACAAAAGCTTGAAGCAGTGGGCAGAGTCGAGGACAACCCACTCCTCGACGACGAGTGTCACACAGGAGAAGCTGGACAACTACGGGACCAAGCTGCTAGGTGTTTTCGTATGTGGTTATAGTTTTGAAAAGTTCTGGGATGGCAAAGCTGTTGAGTCATGTGTGCCTGTTGTCGTGTAGCCCCGGTGCTTGCCTGCGTAATTTTGCTGTGTGGCTTGTACTTAATAACAGAGACCTCTGGAAAGAGATAGGAGCATTTGCTCCTCCGATATATATAGGAGCATCTGCTCCTGAAACAAGCAATCCAAGAACACTTGAACCTTTAAGCCCCTAGAACCTTTCATCCCAAACCCCTATCCCCATTGAACCCGAAACTCTGAAGCAAACGACCCCTAAACCCGGAGATCCTAAATAATTCCTTGATGTCATCAGCACTAAAACTAGAACCTGAATATTAAGCACCCGTGTGTCTATACACATCTGAGGTTCGATGTGGCCAAGCTCCTGAATTTGGATCCGGACTCGAAGGAGCAAAGTAAGATTTTGAATGCGGTCCTACACGACCTACCTCAAGATGATGCATGGGACGAAAGCAACCCCATGGAAAAAACCTTCAAGCAGATGAACATGATTCGCTACACCTTCTCCAAGAACTTGGGTGTCTCGACCAAGCGTGGCAAGGAAGAAGTTGATTCTTTCGTTCACACAAGGGACGTTTGTGGCAAAAAGCTCAAGCAAATGCTCGAAGATGGCGGCTCCGGCGGCTCGGGCGGCTCGAGCGGGGACCCAGCGGTCAAGCTGGAGCACGTGTGGATTCTGCCAGCCCAGGAGAAGCACAAAGAGATCGTGCAAGCTCTGAAGACAGTGAAGAGTCTAGTGAATCATTTCAAGAGATTTAAAGCCGTGCAAGAAAAGTCTGGAGAGGATGCCCCAGCAAGTCTCACCAAGGGTTTCAGCATGTTAGAGGCGTTGGAAGCTGATCTGCTAAAGCTACAATTGGCAAACGTTTCACAACTCGCTGAGGAAGAGTGCAAGGCATGGGTGTCTTCTGCAGTTGACCTAATTGCTCATTATGAGAATATCAAGAAGGTTGCAGAGCAGAGCAACAAAGATCTTGCAAAAATGTTCCCAGAGTCCAAGGCGGCCTAGCGAAGCTAGCACGTCGATCGTTTTTCAGATGCAGCCGACGGTTGCATGCAACAGGTCATCATGATCATATGTTGCACCGCTGGATCTAGAGCACCGCCGCCGGCTGCACAAAAAGATGCGAGAGTGCATGCTATGCGAAGGTTTTTAGCAAGTGCATCAAATGTGCTTGCATGCAGCAGCTTTTGCATCGATCATTGCGACGGATCGATAGAATGCAACTTGTACCCTCTATGGGTTTGGCAGAATTAGGACAGTGAGTGAAACAAGACTAAGCCGATATAGAATGAGATTCTAACACAAGTTTTAATCTGGGCCAAGCAAATTATTGTTTCCTTCGATTCTAGCCTCAGCTATATAGAAGCGACAGCTATATAGGTGCTTAAGCACCTGTGTACAGACATATGTACAGCACACAGATATAGTTCACATAATTAGACCGACATGTGTTAGATCGATATACGTATACATCTAATGTATATATACATACATGTACTTATACATGCATGCATGTTAACATAACAAGACATACACAGGGGCAGTGCAGCCCCTCTTCAGCAATGATGGTTTTATCCATCGGCAGAGCCCTGGCTTTGCTGATATTTTTCTTTTCTGCTATCACGGGCGAGGCTGTTTGCGGCGATAAGGAACCTCTGCCCACTCTCAAGCGGCAGAGTGAGGCGAAGTCGTCGGCTGCAAAAGCCAAGGCGGCTAAGGTTTCGGAATCAAAATCTTCTGAAGCAAAGCCTGCATCGCTGAGGAAAAAAGTTGGCGAGACCTTCCTACATAATAAGCTGTCTGCAAAAGACATTTTTGAGATATCCCAATCTGCTGCGGCAGAAGCAGGCAGTTCCAGCTCGGTGACTAATTTTGCAGCGGCAGGTGCCTGAGGCCGGCAACCTGGAAATCTGGCGAGGGACTTGCTCAGGAGCCTTTGCAGGGGAGCTCCTTTGGAACTTTTCTGGTATGACATTCCTTTTTGGGATCCTGCAACTGACTCAGAGATTGTACAACCTCATCCATTTTTGCTTCCTCACGAAGTTATACATCATCTGGTTACTCAACAAGGTTTGAAGTCTTTCGTCGTTAAAGCAGCCCAGCGTGCTGCGAGAGCCCAGCTTATCAAACAGTGCGACAAATTTGGTTTCGACCCAGATGAGACCATCAGCATTGGGATGCATGGTGATGGAGTACCTTACACGAAAAAGGAGTCCCTGGAGATTCTCAGCTTTAACTTTTTGGCGAATCCTACTGGGGATAGAGTTCCGATCACCGCCGTTTCCAAGAAGTGGGCTACCCAGAAGACTTGGGAGTGCTTGCTGAAGGTGATTACCTGGAGTTTGCGGATGCTGTTCCTGAAACAGGTCTCCAAGGTTTTGCCCGATGGCAAGCCGTGGAAACATCGGCGAAAGGTGACTGGGCAGTTGCCCGGCTGCCTCTTGCTGCAGTGTAGGGGGGACTGGCCGTTTTTGCGATCCCTGTTTTATTTTCCTGCGTGGAATTCTCAACAAATCTGCTGGAAATGCTCTGCAAGCCAAGAAGGGCCTCACAGCTACAAAAACACAGGTACAGATGCTTTGTGGCGGAAGCTTAGGGTAAGCGACAATGAATTTTTGAGATCTTTGCGTGAACAAAACGTTTTCGTTTGCCCGCTGTTGAGTTTACCAGGGTTCGAGGTCTCTTGCATATTATTGGATTGGCTCCACGTGGTGGACTTGGGCTGTGGAGCGGATGCTATTGGGAACTTATTCTGGCACTTGATTGCAGAGCCAGGTTTTTTTCCAGGAACTTCCAGGGAGGCTCGATTGAAACAACTTTGGGCTCGCTTGAGGACGTGTTATCAAAGGCACAAGCCTGCGTCTGTCCTGGACAATCTGACTGTGGAAATGGTGCGAAGATCCAAAGCGACTAGCAAGCCGAAGTTGAAAGCTAAGGGTGCCGAATGTCGCTATCTAGTCCCGTTCTGTCATGAATTGGCAACCGAGATAGCAGAGGGCAATCCGGAGGACCACGTCATGCAAACAATTGCAGGCCTTTTTAGTCATTTGTTTGCTTTGCAGCAATGGGTTGCAGGGAGCCTGGGAGCCTACGACTTCAACAAGGCATCTGAGGAGTGCAGACGTTTTTGTGTCTTGTATGGGAGCTTGCAGTCCCAGGCGACGTTTCCACTGTGGCATTTCAAGCCCAAGATGCATCTGTTGCAAGAGATGGTCGAGTATCAGAGCGAGGAGCACGGGAATCCCCGAGAGTTCTGGTGCTACCGGGATGAGTCCTGGTGCGGCTTTTGGGCGAAAGCCAGCAAAAGGCGTGGTGGCCACAACACCCCTGCTACTACTGCTCGTACTTTTTTGTTGCGGTACTTAGCCTTGGAGAAGCTTGCCGCAGAAGACTGAAAACTTCGCCCGCCTTGAGGAGCAATCGTGCTGCCTATGCTCCTGTTCATGCTGGGGGTCGCACTATATATATATATATATATATATATACATACATATATACAATGCTATATATATATATATATATACATAAATATATATATATATATATACTGCACATATAATGGCCCTTTAATTTTTCTACTATGTTAATTTGAACTTTCTGTTGCCTTATAAGGCAACAGAAAGTTCAAATAAAAATAGTAGAATAAGTGCCTTCAGCACCTTCTCAGAATCGATTTGCAGCCAGGTGTGTCAGGAGCAGTTTGCTCCTGCAGCAGTGCATGTCTAGGATCGATGGATCATGCCGTTTTTTTATTTGCCGCAGCCGTATATCTCCAAATGCTATCCTTCCGCAGCCATGGCTAAAGTGGTGCTGCTGTCTAAGCTGGACCCCAAGGGCAACAAGGGTGCTTGGCTTAGGCTGAAGGAGGACGAACCGGCGAGAACCAGAGAAGAACTCTTGTACCACTTCGGCTGCTCTGTGCTGGACGGTGTGCACGAGACCGGTAGCAGCTTCCACAAGTACGAGGAAGTTTGGTTTGTTGTGGAGAAACCGTTAGTCGACCACGGCTTGGACAACAGTGCGGTAGCACTACAGGTCTGGGATGTACAGATGCAAAAGCATGTCAGTTTCGCTTTCAAGTATGAGAGCTCCGCCGACCTTCATAGCTTGGACTAAAAATGTGCCTTGCTATAATGCATGCATGTGCATGAGTCTTTGCATGTATATTATATAAGTTTATTATTCTATTTTTTGATGCACGTATTGCATGAAATCTTATGGTACATATATATATGTAGACACATCATTTACTGCATGCATGTTTATCTATATATCATATTATAAGTTTATATACATGCAGGTACATGTACATACACATATATTATACATATGTATGTATATATATATATATATATATATATATGCACAGACACGCACACACACACATGCATATATATATATATATATATATATATATATATATATGCACATTTTTACATATATATATATAGGTATGTGTGCTTGCTCACGAGTGTTTGGTAATGTTTTGCATGCTTGCTGCACTCATGACATTCCATGTGCATTGCAGCAAGCAGGCTCGCAGCTGCCAACTCGCCTGCATAGCGGGCAGAAACTTTTGTAGGTCAACGGGCCTCTTTGTGTAAGCCCTCTAGAACAGTTCTGGAGGCTCCCAATCCTTGTGGATTTAGCTCCACTTCATTCCTCTCCCGCTCGCGATAGGGGGAGGAGTGCATGGTTCCAGGCCATTTGGTATTTGCGATTTCACTGTGCATTTGGCATTTCATTTGCATTATGGATCAGTCAGTGCCTGTGAGCGATTTGTCAGTGCCTGAGATTGATGCATCGGCTTCACTCGCAACAGACATTGCGATTTCTGACCAGACTCGTTGCATTGTCAAGCGATTTCAGAAACGGACTTCATCCCAGCAGGAAGGCTCGCCGACTTTAGATGCCTCGCCTTCTGCAGTCGTTCTTGATGCAGTGGTTGCTTCGTCTCAGGGTGCCCTGGAGGTGGATCCATTGCACCCATCATTGGCTTTATCTGCTCAGGACTCTGATCAGGAGGCTCCATTACTCCCGGAGGTGGTCATCTCTGGCAATGATGTTCTGCAGGGGCCACAGCTGGACCCTGAAGGCTTTTCATTTGGGTCGCGACCCCCTTCACCAATCTATGACCCTGATTTTGAGCTGGTAGATCCACTGGAAGAGTCTTTGACGCAACCTGTGGCAGCCTCTGCAGTACATTCGGGTTCCTGTTCTTGGGATGTGATTTCGCCGGTGCCTGAGACGACCCCTGCGTTTTGCTCTACGGTTTCATCTGGCTTCTCCCCACTTCGTGTGGGCCGTCTCTCTTTTGCAGAGACTGACAGGGAGATGGATTCACCGTTGCTTCCGGCAGTCTCGCAACAGGATCTTTCATTTTCTCAGATGGAGGACACCTTGCATCCCAAGCCGGCTCCCTTAGCTAGGCCAGCCACACTCAGTGCTGGAGGTGCTCGTGCTACAAGCTTGCATCCCACGGGTGTCAGGTCGACAGAACATGCAAAATCGAGGCCGATTTTTCCGCTGAGGGCCTCCATTGGGGTGCCCACAACGGCGCCTAAACCTCGCCCGGTTCCTTCTGCTCGTGGTTCGTATGCTCGGTACCCATCGGAGCACTTGCATTCTGCTTCTCAGGTGTCGGGGGCTCTCTCGAAGAGTTCGCCTCCATCTCAGGTTGCAGGGAGCTCACTCCATTCTGGAGGGGCCCCAGAGCCGCAGTCGAGTCCGTTGGTGACCAAGGGTCCTGGCGCCAAGAGAGGCATTGATCTCTTGCATTCAGGAGCAAACAAGGGCAGCTCCAAGGTTGTCAAGCAGTCCGAGATCCATTCCAGTCAATGGTCCCGGGCCCTTCAGTTGTGGGCTGAGCTGTGCGAATTTGCATTATCATGTTCTACATTGCTTGGTGACATTTTCAACAGCTCTAATAAATACCCCCTTTTGGAGCAATTGCTCCGCCGAGTGTCGGACACGACGGCGCTGCGATACATTGCGATTATGTGGCA